CCAAGAGTTTGAGGTTGCTGTGAGCTATGATGCCACAGCACTCTACCAAGAGTGACAAAGTGAGACTCTAAAAAAAGAATTTTTATCATTCAATCTCTAACCTTCCTCCCTTTCCTAATTTTGGTAGGTGGGACTGAAAGTTCCCACTCTCTAATCATGTACTTGGTCTTTCTAGTGACCAGCCCCCATCCTGAAGCTCAATCTTGAAACTTTTTGTTACTCAGCAATAAACTGAGGCATGGTTGAAAGGGGCTCCTTGTGAGTAACGAAAGATGTTCCTTCCATTTCTACCATGCAGGAAATTCCAAGGGTTTTGGGAGCTTTATGCCAGGAACCAGAGACAAAGATCTATATATAATTCTATTATGTCACACCTACTAATTTCCTTTATACATAGAGAGTTCTAGAAGTAAATGATAAAAAGATCAACAATGCAATAAAAGATAGGCAAAGGAAACAGACAGGTCCCAGAAAAGAAGCTCTTCTTAAGCCTATGGAAGGAGACTTAGCCTTACTCATGATTTAAAAAATGCAGATTAATACTGTACTGAGATACCGTTGTTTTACCTATCAGATTGGCAAAAATCCACTATACTCTGTTGGTGAAGCTGCAGGAGGGCAGGCATCCTCATATTGGTCTGGTCCTTAGGAAAGCAATTTAGTAGCACCTATCAATTTTACAAATGCATTTACCTTTTGGTCTGACATCCCCATTTCTAGGAATGTACTCTGCAAATCTGCATGTACTATAATGACTTATACATACAGCCATTCATTGCAATATTGTTTGTAATGACAAAATAAAAAACTCAAGTATCCATCAATATGGGACTGGTTAAATAAATTATAGTGCATCTGTATGATGGAAAAGCAAGTGGCTATCTAGAAAGTTGAAGAAGCTCTCCCTGAACCGAAGTGGGAAGATTCCTAAGATACATTTCTCAGGGAAAAGTTAAGGTGTGTAGTAGTGGGTATTATATGAAAACCATGGCTGACCACGCAAGTTGTTTCTGTGCTATGAATTCTTTTGACACTCCGTTTTCTGTGTCAGTGCATTGTCATCAGTGGAGAAAGTGGCTCTGGGAAGACAGAAAGTGCCCACCTGATTGTTCAGCATTTGACTTTCTTGGGAAAGGTATCGACTAACCTGCTTTATGTATCAAGTTCCTATAGAGTAACTTCATATTTTATAAGTAATGAAAGTAATGGTTATTTTTTTTTTTAATTAGGGGTTACATAAAAAAAATTCCTTCTTTGTTGTGTTTGCCTTCTGATAGCAAGTCCTCTTCAGATGTCAGCATGCTCTCCTTCTTTCCTGGGGGGAGGAGGATAATGCCAGTAGGAATTTGCTAGTTTATTGGCAATTAATTTTCATGTTTTCAGTGTAATAGAAACATTGAGCTATTAAGTAGTAATAGTGGTAAAGCACTAGGAACAGGATCAGGGAGAGCTGCTACCAGAATTAAAGCGATGGAAAATTGAAATTTGGGAGCAAAAGTTGAGGAAAATGAAAATTTTCAGCGTGGTGAAATGGACATTGAAAGAATGACTTCACCAGTAGTCTAGGAGTTACTTATACTCAGAATTAGTGTGTTAGGTGACTAACAAAGGATTTATGGAATAGATGAGGTTTATCGAAAGTTATAATGGATGACTGAGAAAAATTATGGAATATGTTTAAAATTCTGTCTAAACTGTTTAGACATGTCATCTGCCAAGGATTTTAAATGGAGTGTTGGATTTAAAAATTGCTGTCCTAATCCAGCCTGATCTGATTCATATGTACCTAAGAAGGTGCTTGTCTGAGAAAATGATGCTGGTAGTTGATGTTGATTTCCCTTACATGGAGCTCTTCATTAAAGGATAATATGAATTTGGGTGGGTAAGGGAGGGTGCCTGGTAGCTTTGTGGGAGTAATGTATCCATCTAGGCTCTTCTTGACTGTTCTCTGTTTGGCACAGGCCAATAATCAGACTTTGAGAGAGAAAATTCTACAAGTCAACTCCCTGGTGGAAGCCTTTGGGAATGCATGCACTGCCATCAATGACAACTCAAGCCGTTTTGGAAAATATCTGGAAATGATGTTTACACCAACTGGAGTTGTGATGGGAGCGAGAATCTCTGAATATCTACTTGAAAAATCCAGAGTCGTAAAACAGGCAGAGTAGGTGTCCTACTTTATCATGCTGCTTTTGTTCTGCTGTATGAACTGGGAGGCCTTGGGAATTTCAATGGTTCTATTTTCATCCTTGTTCTTAGCATTTCCCTAGCTTCCCCCAGAACAAAGAATTACTTAAGCAAAGCATCAGTGGTAGTCTTTGATCTAAAAGATGTTAACGGGCAGAGTCTAAAAGGTCAGAGTTGGTGTGTTTTGGGGATAGATATGCCTGTTTCTCCTGAATTGGTCATGTGAGGTAGAAATTAGCAGCATTGTGGGCACTTTTTAAAATCACTGGGTCTGTTAAATTGAATTTGTTTATTAAAAAGAAGCCCTGAGAATATTCTACATGTTAATTTTCCCCCTAGATTGAGGGAGAAAAAGAGAGAGAGAGCCAGTTACTCTGTTTTCAAGGAAAACAGTATGGTAATGATAATCAATACCGTGGACTTTGCTCTGTGTTCGAATGCTGGCTCTGATTCTTACCTTGGGCATTTCATGAATATCTCTGTGCCTCATCTGTGACACGGAGGTGCTACTGGAACTGACCCCATAGATTTTTTGTGAGGATTAATGAGTTTGTTTATATGACATTACCTAATAGAGTCCAGATATGGTACATGCTTATCACTGTGTTAGCCACTCTTTCTGTTATAATAATGATAATAATTATTATCACAGGACATCAGCGCTCCTCAGGAGAGTGGCTCCACACACACATATCCATGCATTCTTGATGCCTGCTGTATGCCAGTGCTGTGTTCTCTGCTGAGGTTGCAAGAGTAAACAAAATAGAAAAGATTCCTGTCTTCATGGACTTGGATTGTGTGGCGGATGGTGGAGGGGTGGGGTAGATCACAGGCATGAAGCAGTTACTTAAATGTGGAACAATTGCAATAAATCCCAGGAAGTGACATAGGTGCTACGCAGGTGAAAGTGGAGAAGGCATGTGACCTACTTCTGGAAGAAAGAGCGGCTCCCTGTGTCTGAGACATTATATCTGACATTTGAAGATCACTGGGAGTTATATCAAGAAGGGGACAGACTGGGGAGAGAGAGAGTGGCAAAGATGAGACTGAGACCAGAAGATGCAGGTCTTTGGAATGAAGCTGAGGATTTTCAAGCTTTTTCTCAGGGTGAAAGAAAGCTGCTGCATGTTTTCAAGCAACCCAGCTTACATTTTGAAATGATCACACAGGCTTCACTGGGCAAATGGACTGGAGGAGACGCGAGAGGAATTGTGTTGACACCGTTAGGAGGCTATTGCCAAATCCATGTGAGAAAGAGTGTTGGCCTCACTAAGGTGGTAGAGGGGAGATGGAGAGCAATGGAGCAGTCTGAGAGATACTGTACAGGGAGAGTTCACAGGTCTTGCTCTAAGTTGAGAACCCAAACATCTTCCTCTATCACGCATGCTCAGTTTCCTCACACAGTAGGGACTGGCGATTAAACGAGTGAACAAAAAGAGTGAATGGAATGGGAAACCATTCTTCTAAGTGAAACATCACAAAAATGGAGAAACAAACACATGTACTCAATACCAAATAGGAAATAATCGATCAATACTTAAGTGCATATGTGGAAGTAAATCTCCATGAAAATCAAGCAGAGGGAGGAGGAAGGGGAAAGTCACACCTACTGTGCACATATCCAGGTGAAGGGCACACTTGTAACTTTAACTCAGTCTGTACAAAGTATAGAAACAAAACACATGTATGCCCTGATATTCTGAGGGGAAAGAAGAATAAGAATCATTAAATCTTCCCTGTGGCTTCTTAATTTTTATGAAGTCCTGTATTTATTTCTCCCCCAATTAGAATGATTTTAAAGCTTAGGGAGCCATAGTACCCTTACAATAAAAATAAATAAATAAAACAGGCCAGATTTGGATGTCAAAAAATAAATAAATAAAAATAAAGCTTAAGGAGCTACCTCTGACAGAATGAAAAGTATAGTGTACTATGTTCAAATGTAAAATGGTCTTTTACAGAGATGTGAGGTCAGTTCTACTGACAGCTAGGTCACTCATGATATGTCACTTATTCACAGAAATATTCTTATACCTTGCTTTCCTCATCTGCAGTATATGCAAAATAATGCCCAGCCTGACAAGGCTGTTGTGAGAATTAAATGAGATGAAGAGAAGATGAGGCCTGGGCAAGTCTTGCTCATCTAACCCATGTAGTTCTGCCAGCTTCTGGGCACACTGTACAATTCTCCCTTGTGGTGGGGTCTGGGGATGTGACCAGTTCTGGCAAATAGGCATGTACTCAGAATATCCCAGAGACTGGCAAAGTGTACGATGGTGGCTGTTCCATTTGCCTGGGCCTATTAGCACAGCCCCATTGCTGACCCCCCTGGAACATGTTGTCTGAGTTAAGTAAGTTGAGTTTAGCCTCTAAAATCTTGGGACATTTGTTATTGCAGCAAAACCTATCCAATCCTGAAAGACAAAGAGATGAAAATCAAGTTGAATTTATGTGAGGGATGGGTGTTGGCAGGAAAAGTGTAGAAGAATTAAGAATTAGAGGTATCTGCAGAAAAATTCCAAGAGGGTCAGACCAAAGCCTGCACGTTCAACAGAAGTTAAAGAACAAGCAATATTCATCTCAGGCACACCACTTCCTGTCTCAGTAAATGGGGCCACCATCACTAGATGCTAAAGTTAGAAACCTGGAAGGCAGACGCCAAGTCCCTCTCCTTCACATACTCAGCCTGTAAGACATTGTTTTTGTTGTTTTTCCAAAATAATCTTTCTCTTGCTTTCCATCACCACTGCCATTGCCCTATCCGAGCCATTATACTTTCTCAGCTGGACCTCCTAACTGGTCTTCCTGTATCCATCTTGGCTTCTTATAGTCTGATCTTCATCCTGCAGCTGGAAAATACATGTTCTAACACAAGTTTATTCATGTCACACACTTACAGAGCAACCCAGCTCCAGTTTAAGACTCAAAGAATTCTAAGTGCTTAATCAAAAAATTCCTCATTATGACCTAACATAGAAGACCCTATGAGCCTTCCGTGGGCTAGCCCTGCCCACCTGTCTATGCCCTTCTCCCTAGGACTATTTGATCCTACATGGCGGTTGTGCTCAGAGCCTTTGTGTCTATGCTGCTCCGAGGGGAATGCTTTTCCTTCTTGTAGTTCCTTCCAGCTCCTTCTCATGCTTCAGGGTTTCACTTAAGTGTTATTTTTTTAGGGATTCCTTTTCCTGATTTGCCATAAATAATTCACCATTACCCCCCAATATAATTCTTTTTTTTTTTTTTTTTGAGACAGAGTTTCACTCTGTCACCTTCAGTTGTGCCATGGCATCATCATACCTCACAGCAACCTCAAACCCTAGGGCTCAAGTGATTCCCTTGTCTCAGCCTCCCACGTAGCTGGGACTACAGGTGCCTGCAACTACATCCAGCTAGTTTTTCTATTCTTAGTAGAGATGGAGTCTTGCTCTTGCTTAGGCTGGTCTCAAACTCCTGAGTTCAAGCAATGCACCTGCCTCAGCCTCCCAGAGTGCCAGGATTACAGATGTGAGCCACTGTGCCTGCCCCACCATGATTCTTTATCTCAGCCCCTTGCTCATTTCTCTGAAAGTCCTCATCACAATTTTTCTTGTTGTTTCATCTAACTACACCATGAGAAAGGAGGACACCATGTCCAAGAGGACAAGAAACCTGTTAGTCCTGTATCCCTGGCCACTGGCTGGGTGCCTGCCATGATTGGCACACACTACATTTATTAGTGAAGAGTCACCTTTGAACTATAAGCATCCCATAACATCATGTTGTCTTCCTCAAATGTACATAGTAACATGCACTTTAAAAAGTAAAAATAAAGGTGAAAAATGAAAATAAATTTATTAGTTAAGTGAAGAAATGAGTGAGAAATGGCAAATAAAGTCATCTAGACGGCAGGGCAGGGATAACAACACACCAGAAGAGCTTTGACAAAATAAACAACCAAAGGAAGGTGAAAATACCAAGAGAGGCTGAAGACAAGGGTGGAGGCCGTGCCACAGATGGGGCCAAGGGGAAGAAAGAAGACAAGATTTCTTTCCATAGAGCCAGATTGGCCAAGGAGAGATTTTGCCAAAATCTAGGGTATCGACAAAAGAGATTGTCTTCCTTCAGAGGAAAGAAAGCGATCTAGAGCAGTGCTTTTCAAACTCTCTGTGCTAAGGGACCATTTTTAAAAAAAAAATCCCAATCCATTATAAATTAATACCTTTGTAAAATATAATGAAAATGATTTATCAGGAAAATCGTCATGTCTTAGACGTCATGGCACTGTCACTTTCTATAAAATGTCTAGCCATATATTTTCCAATTCCTTTTAAAGTTACAAGCTGATACCAGTCCACAGACCATGCTTAGAGTAGCACCTATCTGAAAAGACTCTGGCCAAGGTGGCTTAAAGAGATAGATGGCAGGAGACCAGGGGTGCTGATGAATGACATTTTGAATGGTATTTGAAAAAACACCTTTTTGGGAGAGAGAAGACCTCAGCTCTTGGACCATTTCTGCTCCCTAATCTGCTGTACACTGGCAAGCTACTTCTTATCTAGGGCACCAGTGAAGTAGGAGATTTGGCTGATTTCTCACTGTCTCTGAAACAATCTGGGCTATCAACAGAAGGCTTGTGGCTCAGATGCATAAGCGTTTCAGCTGGAATAGGAAGATAACCTGAGCTGTTTCCTGTGACTGTCCCGTTCTCTAAAACTTCCTTCTGCTTACAGTAAAGTTGTGGGGCTAATCCTGCAGCATTGTGACAATTACCATATTAATCCCATTACTATTACTATTCTATAAATCGGAGGTATCTTATTTCACTGCCTGAAAATGTAAATTTGCTATGGAATAATCTTTTGCACAAAGAGAAAATGGTGCAAAATTACTTAGGATGGGAAAGCACAAAATAGGTTGCTAACAAAGTCCCCTTTTTTTATTCTCTTCAGGGGAGAGAAAAACTTTCACATATTTTACTATATTTATGCTGGTCTTTATCACCAGAAGAAACTTTCTGACTTCAGACTTCCCGAGGAAAAGCCTCCGAGGTAAGTGTCAGGGGTTTTGATTGTTCTTGTTTAATACCTATATAATTAGCCATTGGCAAACTTGGAAGTAAATGGATCTATTTTCCTAACTGGAAACTCAGAGTCTATCTCATGGAAATTCTCCAGGATAAGGTGGGAGGAACTGCATCTCACCCCTTGTGGGCTCTAGAAAGTTCAAAAAAACTCACCTGCAGCCACTCAACTCAGCTCTCTGTGCCAATTCCACACAGATTAGACTGTGAAGGAAATGCCCTTGTGAAGAAGCAGCTCAGACTGCGCCTGCCCTGGCGTTGGAGGCGCCATTTTCCACGCCAACGCTCATTCTGCTTGCTCATGCTTCACTTCCTTTAGGTACATAGCTGATGAAACTGGAAGGGTGATGCATGACATAACTTCCAAGGAGTCTTACAGAAGACAGTTTGAAGCGATTCAGCATTGCTTCAGAATTATAGGGTTCACTGACAAGGTAAGTGATCGTGAAGAAAGAAACTCAAGTGTCAATATTCTTAGATGAATGTGAGTGAAGATGTGGATGTTCTAACTCGGGGAAGCATACTTGCTTTTCACATTCCCTGGTGGTCTTGCTACTCAAAGTGTGGTCCAAGGACCAGAAACGTTGTCATCATCTGAGAGCTTGTTAGAAATGTAGGCTCTCAGGTAGGTCCACCTAAGAATGACTGAATCAGAACATGAACTTTAGCAAGATGCTCAGGTGAACATCGAAATAGGTGAAACACTGTTGGAAGGACCGTGTGGGAAAGAACGGTTATCACTGTCTTCAATTCATTATACCTGAAATAACAAATATCAAAGCAGCATTTCCTCTTTCCTGAGTTAAGGATTATTCCAACCATTAAAGTGAATTATGAGCAGGAGTCCAGGAATATGAGGCTTACACTCAAAGCTACAGAAATATATCTATGCAGGTAGCTTCTTGGTCACGAAGACAAATTAATTACAATGCTTTCAACTTTCTTCTGTTCCTTCCTCTCCATGGGGCAGAGTTGTACATTATTAACTGTGACTCAAAGTACTATCCTACTCTTATCATTCGAGATGCAGGCTGTCTCTGTTAAATGTATGCAGGGGGTGACAGACAATATTTATACCCCTAGTTTCTGAGCTTCATGCCATCAATTTTGCAAAATATATAGATTCTTTTGCTTTTCCAACAAAGGGGGTGAATGATTAGGAGGTAGGTGAGAGTGGTAAATCTTAAGGGATTAGATTATAAGACACCCAAGTTACCCTGGGACAGCCACTCCAGATAAAGGATTGCTTCTGCAATCCAGGGAGTTGAGCTGCCCTTCCCTCCCCTGCATGGTTGATTTTAGTCATAATAACACCTCCCCCCGCCCCAGCCAGCTGTTAATTTTCTCTGTCGACCTCCCACAGACTTTAAGCCAACAGACAGTGGAAAATCCCAAAGGTCAGATAAAAATAAAAATATATTTCCCTTGGCTTCTTAGAGAAGAGCAATTAAACTGGTTCCAGCATTGTTAAAGGACCTTTATGGTTATTAACTTACAGAACTGGTTTTTAACCATCAAAGAAAAGTCGAAGCCTGGTAGAGATGGAGGTAGAGCAACTTAAAGTCACCTGGGTCATGCCAGAGTGTTGAGAGGCACATTTCCTTAAAAGGATAGAGAAGTCAGGGTTAATAATCATTATTAGTAGGGGTAATATTTTGCTTGCAGTGAATATGAAGCTGGTTTTAGAATATTATAAAGAGATTGGTCCTAGCTCTAAAAGAAAGTGGTATTCTAATAATAGAAATGTACTGCTAATAATAATAAAAGATACTAATTGTTATTAGATAAACAACATTAAAAACTGTTAAAAATCTGTCTTAAAGTAATGACATTAAAAGCAACATTAAAAAAACAAGAAATTACATATGTTAAGTATATGCCCTTGAAGTAAGCCATCTCTAACCCCAGTGGGAAAAAATTACAATAGAAATCAATGAATGAATGTATAAGTGAATATGAGAAGAAACGTAAAAGATGGTGAACACTCTTAATTTGTGCCTGGCCCGGTCTGGTCTCTTACTGAATAACCAGAAAGTAGTGTAGTGTATGTGTGTATCTTCACCATATCCCCTGTTAATTCATACTAGAAATAAACCATTTATGTCAGTACCTTTGGAAACGGAGGGAGAAGGCTGGATCCTGTTTCCCTGACTCTGAATTCTGTGGTTCTGTCTCTGTAGACAACCTGTTTCTCTGAATTATCTTAGTTTACTTTGTGTTTATAAACTCAAAGGACTGTGAATCAATTCAGAGAGATTTGTTGAGTATAGTCAGGCAGCAGATGCCAAATGGCTGATGCAACAGAACTTTCCATTAGGTTTTTCTGGCAGACATTTCTAAATAAAGCTTAAATGAACTGGTCAATTCAATTAAAATTATGGTTCTTGTCTTTTCTTATAATGTCACTAGTTCCCTGCAGGAATTCCTTCGGTTTTCCTCAAGCCCTTACAGCAAAATTAAGAGTAGCAAACTTTAGTGTGGACTCAGGAGCATGCATTTTTAATTCTGGGATGCCAGCCAAAAATATCTGAAAGAACACTTGACCCTGAGTTTATTGTAAAGAAACTTCCCTGGTAGAGGAGTTTTTCCACTAATGATGATGGCTTCTTGTAGGGAGCTTGGGGGGATTATGTCTAAAACCCTATTGTGTAGATTGTATTTTAAAATTCTTATTTATGGAGCCAAACCATACTATTTCTTAAATATTGTACTTGTCTTGCTGGTAGGAATTATGATAATTCCTAAATAAATTGAGCTTTATATGTATTTATATTTAATGCTAAATGAAAACTTTTTGGTCAGATAATAAATACAATGGTCAGAATTGAATATATATTGTAGATCCTAGGACACAGAAGTTAGGGAGAAGACTTTAAGATCAGGGCAAAATTTTCTTCCCTTTCTTTAAAAAAGGTTATGAATTGAGAGAATACTGCCAAAGAGAGATGGAAGGGTTATGTGTTCAATGTCACCTGGGAGTCTTGAGGATTTCCAATGTCTTGACTACAGACAGTAAGATATTATTGACGTTTAAGAAACCAAATAAGGTGCCAGCCACATAAACCAGAGATGGTGCGTTTGAATCCATCCCAGGCCTGCCAAACAATAATGACAACTACAACCAAAAAATAGCCATGCATTGTGGTGGGCTCCTATAGTCCCAGCTACTTGGGAGGCTGAGGCAGGAGAATCGCCCAGAACTTGGAGGTTGCTGTGAGCTGTGATGCCACGACATTCTACCCAGGGTGACAGCTTGAGGCTCTGTCTCAAAAAAAAAAAAAAAAGCCAAATGTTAGCTCATGCCTGTAATTCCAGCACTGTGGGAGGCCAAGGCGGGAGCATTGCCTGAGCTGGAGATCAGCCTTACCTAGCTCAAGACGTCTTGTCTTTTAAAAAATTGCCAGGTGTTTTGGTGGGTGCCTGTAGTCCCAGCTAGTTGGGAGGCTGAGGCAAGAGAATCGCTTAAGCCCAAGAATTTGAGGTTGCCATGAATTGTGACACCATAGCACTCTATCAAGGGCCACAGAGTGAGACTCTGCCTCAAACAAACAAAACAAAACAAAAAAACAGAAGCCAGAGGTTGGCTCTCTGCAAAGGAGACTGAGTGCTATAATATGGCCTGTAGGAAGAAGGCCTATTGGCCTATCCTATTGCAGTGCTCATGGCAAAACTGGTGAAAAACAAGAGACTTACAAAAAAGAAGGTCAGTAAAGGGAGACTGGGAGGGGAGGTAAGTTGCTAGGGAGATCCCAGAGAAACAGGGATCCTGTCAGCCAGGCCAGGGGTGACTTCCTTAAGTCAGGGATAGCCTAGCAGAAGAAACCAAGGTTCTTCTCAACTTTCAACTTAGTCTCATCTCTGTCTATAGAATACCTATGCCAGTGAAGGAAATATCTTCTAAGAGAAAGAGAAATGCACCAAAGACTGCATATCCTGCAATCAGGCTTTGTTGGAGAACTGCTCTCTTTCCCACTTTTGCTGACTGGTAGTGAAACTGAATTCATACTCATCAAAAACAACTTGAGAAACTCAGTTGCAGTTAGTCTAGAGTTAGTTGAATTGTTAGTCTTCTTGAGTGAAGTTATTCCATTTTATCATCTGGAAAGTGGGAAACTGGTAGAAATAAAAAGAGGTAGCTGCATAGCAAAATTCAGGGCTGTGGGCAAGGCAGAGATGCCAGGAAAGGCTGCATAGCTAGACATAAAGCAAGAAGAAGTGGGCAGGTGAGGAAGGCAAAAAGCCCTTCCAGGTCGTCTGCAGGGAGAAAAGGAGAGAAATTTGATCAAGGGTTTTAGGGATGAAGGAGCAATCCCATAGATGGACATTTAAGGGATTGAATTCTACCATGACTGTATATGGGTGATGTTTTGACCCGAACACAGAGGTGGATGTAGGTTCTTGGTTCAGAAAGGAAAAATTAGTTAACCTAAGATCAAAGGTAAAGGAGTCAAGTGGGTGGAATAGCCCAGAAATGTAGCATAAGGCGCACCCTAAGGCTAATAACTTATTAGTATGTTGGGCATTGGATACCCCTCTGTAATTCCCCTCACTAAACCAAGAACGGAACCCCAGCTACCATGAACTTCAGTGATTCCTGTGGTATTTGAACCCATGAGTTTTTGTCCACTTTAAATGACTGTCTAGGGCAGTGGTTCTCAACCTTCCTAATGCCCTGGCCCTTTAATACAGTTCCTGTGGGTTGTGACCCACAGGTTGACACCCACTGGTCTAGGGATTATGCTGAGGAGGATATTGCCAGAGGGGCAATGGGCGTGGGATGCTGGTCTCAGGGATGTGGTCTTTAACCAACATGTTCTTTGGTGATGATCAGCCCAGGGGTAGAATGCCCGTAGGCCTTATGTTGGGAGGTTTCCAGGCTTGTACTACAATATATAAAGTGTGTGTGTATGTTTTAATTAGAGGAAATACGTTTGTTTTCTAAGAGTACTGAGAGTCTTAGATAACCTCTTGATAATTGGATATAGAAATAGCAGATGTAGAACTAATTGCAAAGAAGTCTGTGTTTTGCCCTCTGGAATCTGCTTCCGTGGGAAGCCTCTCCATGTATTCAGCACCCCTCACACTGTATTGATCAAGGTAATTTGGTGCTGTCATGTTAAATCCAAGCAAGTCCCAGAAAACCTATTTAATAGGTGTTTTCCTTAAGCCACTCTTAAGTTGTGTGATTAAACAGTGATTCTTGAAGTAAAAAATACATGACATCCTGCCTTTGATTTAGAGGATGGAAGGACGACATTTATCTCTAGTAGAAGCCTGGTTTAAAATCTTCATTTGTCTCTGTAGCATTATCAGGTATCCAGCAGATGTCACTGTTACAGTCTGTGTTCTGGGTGCTTTTTTTTGTTTTTTTTCCTTTTTTAGCTTTACTGAGTAATGTTTACAGGAAGACTCAATTTGGGGGGCAATGCTTTATCAATGGTCTAATGACAGTTCCTATTAGTTTCCTGCTATGTACAGCACTAAATCAAATTACCTGCCTGAGTGATTTTGTAGAATTATTTTTCTCTATCTATAAGCATAAAATGCAGAAATTTCATGGCTATACACTTTATTGTTTCATAAGCAGAAAATGTAATTTCTTTAAATATAAATAAATATCCTTTTTTTTTTTTTTTACCATTAATGGTATTCAACTTTCAACATAATAATAGGAATTAGATCAGCTGAGCTTTTAAAATTCACATTTCTAACACCAAGTACGTAGGGTTTTCTTTTATGCACCAACAAACACCAGCTGGGTGTCCTACAATTCAATTTAATACTTTCTGTCACCCTGGGAAGAGTGCCTATGGCATCACAGCTCACAGAAAACTCAAACTCTTGGGCTTGAGTAATCTTCTTGCCTCAGCATCCTGAGTAGCTGAGACCACAGGCATGTGTTATTTTTAGTAGAGTAGGGTTTTTTTTTTAGAGTAGGGTTCTTATTCTTGCTCAGGCTAAGGGATCCGCCTGCCTTGGCCTCCAGAGTGCTAGGATAACAGGTGTACGCCACCACACCCAGCCCTGGGACTAGCATCTAAAAGTGAAGGGTTCAGTCCCACAAGGCTGCCTGGACTTCAGACACCCATCTTTTTTTTTTTTTTTGAGACAGAATCTTTTTATGTCACCCTTGGTAGAGTGCCATGGCATCATACCTCACAGCAACCTCAAACTCTTGGGCTTAAGTGATTCTCTTGCCTCAGTCTCCCAAGTAGCTGGGACTACAAGTGCCTACCACAACATCTGGCTATTTTTTTGTGTGTGTGTTGTTGTTGTTGTTTATTAGGCCCTGGATAGGTTTGAGCCTACCAGCCTTGGTGCATGTGGCTGATCATCCCAAGGTAAGAGGTTCAGGTTGCAGATAAACTCCATTCCATGTGATTATTGGTTTGGGCACTGAGCCCAGACACCAATCTTAAGTCCCTCATATTCTGCACTTCTGACTGACTAGCTATAAACTGGGAGCTCCCACAACCTCTTCCTCAGGTTTGCTAGAATTCACAGCTCACAGAACTCAGGAAAATACTTTACCTGCTATGACCAGTTTATTACAAAAGATACAACTCAGGAATAGGTAAATGAAAAAATGCATAAGGCAAGGTATGTGGGAAGGAACACAGAGGCTCTGTGAGCACACCACTCTCCCAGCACTTCCATGTGTTCACCAACTGGAAGCTCTCTGAGTCCTGTCTAGGGATTTTTAGGGAGGTTTCATTACATACACATGATGGTCTAATCATTGGCCATTGGTCATTAACTTAATTTCTGCCCTTGTCTCCTTCCCTGAAGTAGGGTAAGGGGGGCTTGAAAGCTCTGACCCTCTAATCACATGATTGGTTCCTCTGGTAAGCCCTCTTTATCCTGCTGCTATCTAGAGGCCCATCAAGAGTCATCTGGTTAGGGCGGCGCCTGTGGCTCAAAGGAATAGGGCACAGGCCCCATATACCGGAGGTGGCAGGTTCATACCCGGATCCAGTGAAAAACTGCAAAAAAAAAAAAAAAAAAAAAAAAGAGTCATCTGGTTAGCATGAACTCAGGTATGGTTGAAAAGGGCTTGTTGCAAATAAGAAAGACTCCTAAGATTCCTGTCACTCAGTTACGAGAGTTTTAGAAGCTATTGTGCCAAGAACTGTGGACAAAGATCAAATATAGTTGTCCCTTGTAGAGCATTGGTTACAGGATACCCTCCTCATAACAAAATCTGAGCATAATCAAATCCCACAGTTGGCTCTGTGGAACCCTTTTATATGAAAAGTCAGCCCTACATATGTGCAGGTTTCATATCCTGTGAATGCTGTATTTTTTTTTTTTAATCTCCATTTGGTTGTATAAGTAAATCTGTACAGTTCAAATTCAGGTTGTTCAGGGGTTAACTGTATATATTATTAACAACAGTATAATTTCACAGATATTAGATATTATGAGTCTTTCAAAATATTTCCTGACTTCGTAACCATGTAGTACTCTATCATTTAACATCAGAATGTTCTAGTGAGCTGTTAATGAATGCCCTCCCAGTGATTTCATAAAAGCTATATTCAAAAGAGTTTAAGGCAGTGGTTCTCAACCTTCCTAAGGCTGAGGTCCTTTAATACAGTTCCTGTGGGTCACAACCCATAGGTTGAGAACCTCTGATTTAATGTCGAAAGAGGTCTCTTGGCTTTGGAAAAAAGACTGAATCTGGAAGCCAGTATTAGAGTAAATGTCTAAAAGTGGTTTAAGAACAAAGAAAAGTACTTGTCTTACTTAATCATCCCAAGGTAAGAGGTTCAGGTTGCAGATAAACTCCATTCCATGTGATTATTGGGTTTGAGGCATCCTTGCTGGTGGTGTGGTTGAGGCTGGGTTGCTGAGAGTCCACACAGCAACAAGAAAGAGGATGGAGAAGGCGTTCTCACTCCCGCAAGGCCTGGGCCCAGAAGTGGCCCACATCATTCTGTTTGCTCCATGATTAAAACTTACTTATATGGCCAACCCTAACTACAAAGGAGGTTGGGAAGTTTGTCTACCATGCCCAGGAAAAAAGGGAGAATGAGCTTAGACAACTAGCAGTTTCCACCACAGGATGGACTCATTGGTTTGATTTGCCATGACCTTTAAACATGGTTCTTGATGTCCTTTCCAGGAGGTGCACTCTGTGTACAGAATTTTGGCTGGGATTTTGAATATTGGGAACATTGAGTTTGCAGCTATTTCTTCTCAACATCAAACTGATAAAAGTGAGGTACCCAATGCTGAAGCTTTAGAAAATGGTAATTATCTGATGCCTGTGTGCTGTGTTGCCAAAGCACATGTTTCTTTTACTTTCGTTGTTATTCAAGACTTTAGAATGTAATGCAGTTCTTGCTGATCTGTCTCCTGGCTCTGGATGTTTTCTGCTAGTTAGTATTTCCCCAAGGGTGGCCTGTGGAACATCAGGGCTCCTTCTATAAGCCCCAAATAGATGTTCTGCAGAATCTGTGGCGGATATATTTGGTCAGTGGATCTTAACCTTGGCTGCTTTTGAAAGTCATCTACAAACCTTGAAAAAATACTGGAGGTTGGGCCCCCCTCTGAACCCACTAAATCAGCATGTGCAGGAGAGAAAGCATCTGTTTATGTTTAAAGTTCTATTGGCAGTCGTGGTGACACAAGGAGTGACTATCCTCAGTTCTAAACAAACTGATTTAAATAAAGCAAAACCCTTTTTGTGGTAAACTGCTGGACATTTTAGGGCCTTTAATATACTAATGCCTTTTGTGACGTCCAAGGGGGAGTTGTAGTCTGCAGCTATTGTAAAGCTTTTTTGACAAAAAAAGAAAAAAAAACCATTTCCTCCCTTCTCCTTTTTTCACCTGATGCCATTGAAGTGTTTTCAGAATAGTTTGGGAGATACTGTGTCAGTCTGGATGCCTTTTGGGGTTAGGACCCTAGCTCTTTTATCTTTGACTCTAAACTAAAGTCACGTAGTAGTTGAATAAACACTATCAGACTGAATGAATGATGGGTGCAGGGCTGGCCACTCTCCCTAGTGTCACCCTTCCTCTTTGTTCCAGCTGCCTATGTTCTCTGTATCAGCCCGGAAGAGCTCCAGGAGGCCCTCACTTCCTACTGTGTGGTCACCCGGGGGGAGACCATCGTCCGTGCCAACACCGTTGACAGGGCTGCGGATGTCCGAGATGCCATGTCCAAAGCCCTGTATGGGAGGCTCTTCAGCTGGATTGTGAACAGAATCGATACACTCCTGAAGCCAGAAAAAAACATATGGCAAGTTCCCAGGGGAGCAGAGGCTGGGACAGAGCTGTCATTGCCCTAATGGCTCTCAGATTTTACAAATGGAAGTGTTTGGTCTTCTCTCGGGGGTTTCTTTAGCAAAGCTCTTAAGCTTTCTCCTTTAAAAAAACACAGTGAGGTCCAGGAGAGTTGACGTGTTCATACCTGAGAGGTGAATGATGGATGGAGCTGCTGAAGTGTAGGGTAAGGGAACAGGCCGGGCAGGGAACTGGACACCCTGAGCTCACATTGCATCTCTCCAGCTACATCAGCTGCATGTTCCAAGCCACAGTTTCCTCATCTGTAAAATAAGGATAGAAATACCCTCCTCATTGTGTTGTTTTTAGAATCAAACGAGACATTTCATGAAAAGTTTTAAGGCATAGCATCTGACATTGTTTTTACTACTTCTACTTTTTCTTTCCTAAGCAGGAGGGCTTTCCTATGTTGTAGAAGAACTGACAATATCAAATTCGGAAAAGCACTGTTCCAATTCAGCTTCGTGGGTAGACAGGCAGAATAAGTAAGCAGCAGCCGGAGCCCTTCAAACCAAGTGGCTCCTCTTTAATCTGTTTCATATATGGAGCTTCTCAGTAAGATTTTAAAGGATTCTACGGCTAAAAAAAAAAAAAAAGTATTTGAAAATACTGTTGAGAGACGGAAAGAATAAATTGTGTAAGACACTGGACTGTTTCTCCCCTTCCAGGTGTCAGGACACTGCTTTCCACATGTGGGTGGTGGATGTGTCAGTGGACACGTGGGCACACGTGTTCTCACCATCCTGCCATGGACATTTCCTCCTAAAGAATCGTATTCTTCTTTCTCATGCAGTCGTGCAGAGGATGGAATGAATGTGGGTATCTTGGATATCTTTGGATTTGAGAATTTTCAGAGAAATTCCTTTGAGCAGCTGTGCATCAACATCGCCAATGAACAGATCCAGTACTATTTCAACCAGCGGGTGTTTGCTCTGGAACAGGTAATAGTCAGCTTGGAGATAACCAAACCTGATGGGGAAAGATGTTCTCAAGCTACCCCCACGTTGAAGCAGAAACCCCGTTCGGCTAACAGCTAAAAGACTCTAGAGAACAAAGTAGGGTTGGGTGTTCCTTTCTAAGTAAATAGGAATCTAACTTTAGTGTGAAAAAAAGTCTTGATTTCTGTGGAAAGGAATGTTTCCTCATGAGTGGAGGGGGTGACAAGCCGATTATTTAAATGTTGCTTTCAAACTCTTTCCTTCATATTTCCCCAAATGCTGCATTCTCTTCTATTTTATTTGACTAAAAATATCTATGGTTCTGTCCAGAATGATGCAGGATCTGGAATTCAGGACATAGGTTCTTCAGTCCTCAGCTAGCCATCTCTGCTCCCCAGCTTCTCCGTACCATGTCCCTCGGTAACTGGAGGAGTGTTTCCAGGGAGGAGTAAGATACATTCTTGGTTTTCTAGAAACTGAAGTCATTGCCCCCTGAGCTTAGGGGTAAATAAAACAGAGTGAGAAACTAGTGGACTCAAGGATGAGGGGCTCTTTCCTGTAGCAACAGCCTGCCCGCCACAAACTCTTACTTACAGCCGAAGACTCTCTTCTATATGAAGTAATATGAAGTAGTTACAAGAATAAAACATTCTGACCAAGCCTCTTGGAGTCAGTGACAGTTTTTTATTTAATTCGGGTAAACACAAACACACTAAGGAAAAACAGCAGCATTGGCTATATCACTGGAGCTGAACAAATCTGAATGACACCCCTCTCCCCATCTGCCTGGCACAGAACTTGTTTCAGTTCAGGGTCTTACCATTTATTTCCCTGGGAAATCTGGGGTTTTTCTGGTTTTCCAGCCCAAGACAACTCCTTGGCAGAATCTTTGCAGAAAAGAAGTCCTTTTTCTGGTTTAAATCATATTTGCCACCAAAGTACTTTTTTTTCAGCTTTACTTTTTTTCTATATTGGTTTCTAAATTGGGAGTCACTAAGTATGTGTGCGAGAGATGCTTTTGCTAGCTTAAGCTGCCTGCCACAGACCACCTGTGAGTCAGATTAAAATGTGCAGCATCGACAGTGCTACATGCAGAAGATTCCTTTACTACACAGATAAAACACGCCCCATTTTCTACATATACATTCAGTGTTGCCAGATCCAGAAAGTCCATGCCACAGTGTCCTGGGTGGTCCAAAGGCCAGTTTGGGCTTGAGAGATTCACGCTCCCTTTCCCTCCAGATGGAATATCAGAATGAGGGCATCAACGCTGTACTCGTCGAGTATGAGGACAATCGCCCGCTCCTGGACATGCTCCTCCAGAAACCCCTGGGACTGCTTGCACTCTTGGATGAGGAGAGTCGGTTTCCCCAAGCAACTGACCAGACCCTGGTTGGTAGGTACCGTTTCGAAAAAAGGCATATGCACTTGGAATAGAACTTGGCTCATGTCATCAGATGAGTGTACTTTGATGAATTTCCCCTACATACATATTTTGGCTACCTGGTGGGTTATAGGAGTACAGACCCTGTTTTTAATTGACTTGAAGTGTCCTTGTAGAATTTGAGTCTTAAAGCAAACCCATCGCTATCCTTAAATCCTCCCACTGTCTCATTCCTGCCAACGTGAATACTATTACACTATGTCAATATCACTTTTTATACCTCCCTCTCCCTTACTTCCCATAACCAATACTTGCTTCCCCTCCTTTTTACACCTTCACCTTGTATCTTTTCCTGGCCCTCCATTCAGCCGTGGTCTGAGTTACTACAGAAGCCCTTTCTAGTCTTCTAGCTTCTAGGTTCCCACTTTCCCCCTCTGTCCCGGACACCTCAGCCCCTTTAATCTTTCTAAAGCCACCTTCTCCTTAGAGGTAAAGATAGGACCTCCTGCCATCAAAGGCACTCTGCTTTTTACCCCTGTTCTTCCCAAACTTTCCTTCTTCATTTTGAATCTTTAGTGTTTGACATGAGCTTTGTTTCTCACTTAGGTCATGAGATGCTTGGGGGCGATGAAGCCCCAAATCTTTCATCCCATCAGGGTGTAGCACACTTCTTCACACTTAGTAGGCTTTTTAACCACACATCAGCAATGGCAAAAATTGTTCAGAGAGGAACAGAAAGTTTTAAGCTTTTTCCCCAGACGAAAAATTGATTTGTGGCGGAAATTTACTTCTAGGAGTAGTTGAAATGTTTACCCCAAGGCCTTTCCTTTTATCTATATTGTCACAGTTGCAAAGATGAGTTTAAACCAGAGTTATCTGCCTGCATGGGATATGCTCATGGTTCTAAAGCTAATTGGCAAGGCTGCTGGTATCATCAGCGCCTTCGTGCTAGGAGTTCTTAGAAACAAACGGCTGGAAAACATGCAATCTCAGAGCACAGCCTGAGACGAAAGACAACGGTAAACATCTAAACACACACTCAATCATAAATGCCCCCACTGTGAGTGGTCCCTCTCCTCCTTTGTACATACAAAGAAGGTACATGTATCATGCTGGCCTGAGAGCCCTTATTCTGATTCACTCACGGATAGAGGAGCGTGTTTTTTTTTTTTTTTTTTTTTGAAAGGGCAAGCAATTCATATGGTAACTTTCTGATACGAAAATTCCATACAGATAAATTTGAAGATAATCTACGATGCAAGTACTTCTGGAGGCCCAAAGGCGCGGAGCTGTGCTTTGGCATTCAGCACTATGCTGGAAAGGTGAGGCGAGTGTGGCCGTGATTAGACCTGAGTTTGACAAAGGGGAAATGTCCCTATTACCGTGTTCGCTGCTCACGAAATTGCTTGCAGATTTCCTTCTCCTTTCAATTCTTCTTGAACACCTGATCATAATTCCCAAACTTTCTCAGTGCTGCCGCTCATGAAAAGTTGCCCCTGGCATAGAAGCAATTTCTCGCTGGGGTGGCCCACAGAGTTACCATCTGCTTCTCACCTGAGGTTTGGCCTAGGCCTGACAGCTCTCCAGAGAGAAAACATATTCCAGCTTTTTGCAGCGTTTAGTGGTGAATGTTCACATTCTAAAGTCATTTAGAGACGTGTAGGTAATGGAGGAGGGTTAATATCACAGTGGGACTCAATGTTTAGCACTTTAATCATCTGTCTAAGGGCCCTAAAAATGTCCAGATGAAAAGGGAAAAAAAAATTCACATCATTATCCAGATATTAAGCTTTTACAGCATTAACTGAAATTTCCATTTTTCATATATTATGCCTCAGTCTCAATTTCAAGTTCCTGAAGCAGATTAGTGACTTATTCAGGAAATTCTCTAGCCCTGTAGCCAAAGACTTGTTGCTGGTATTACTCCCCAAGGAGCCATTTGAATTATGGCTAATTGGTTCCTGAGGGGTCTGCTGAAGCCCTAGGTCCAGAAATGCGTAGGAGTTTAATAAAAGGCATTTTAGATTATTTTGCTGATTTGAGATGTATCAAAATTGTCTTTCATATTTTTATCATGACATTGAGACTAATTTTGCCTGATTAAATGTGGTTTGAAAGATAATTCTTGCACATGGAAAAGGGATTGTTTTTTTCCACACATAGTATTTTATGGCCTCTATTTTTGTTCTTTGTTAGAAATTGCAATTTAATTCTTGCTCTTAAAGACTTCATTCGCCTTGGCATCAATGTCTGACTGCATATTAATGTCTCCTCTGAGTCTGAGATACCAGAATCTGCCCCTTTCCCCTCCCCATTCCCTTCTGTCTCCTCTTCTTGTCTCCTTCCTCTCACCTCTCTTTCCATCTCTCTGTCCTTTTATACCTACCTCCTACTCACCTTTCTTTTCCCCTCCCTTTTTATCCCTCTTCTCCTGTCTTGATTTTAGGGGTGGAAAAGGATTTTTTTTTTTTCTCTTCATGCTCTGTGTCCTTTGCTGAATTTGCCATTCAAAGATTATTTGGTAGACAAGAGATTTTCTGAACTAGGTCTTCTGAGATCCAAGAAATGCTTAGCATTCTTGAGCAACCACTCAAATCTCATGAGTCCCTAGGAAGGCAATGAGAATACAGTGGTGAAGAGGATGGCGTCAGGCTTCTTGGGTTTTATTCCCTGAAATGTAGCCTCTTTCTAAGACTCTGTTTGCCCGCCAGTAAAAGAGAGATAAAGTGTTCGCCTCATAGGATAGGTGCTTTGTGCCTAGTGCCTAGTACATTTTAATAGCTCTTCTTTTGTGATATATTTCTGATAGGACACTTTTTCGCAAAGAGCACCTGGACAAGAAGCTAAGGTAAATTGACCTGTCATAATTTTTCCCTCTTATCTGCTGCTCTCAATTTAAAAGTATGACTATATCAAGCTAAGTTCCATGTAAAGGTCAACTAATGACTGACAGAGACGACTTGCCAGGGTCACTGGAGAGGGACAGTTGGCCTGGCTAACTTGCTATTTGCTATTTATATTGCAGGTATTATATGATGCTTCTGGAGTTCTTGAGAAAAACAGAGATACTCTTCCTGCTGATGTAGTTGTAGTCCTGAGAACATCAGAGAACAAGCTTCTTCAGCAACTCTTCTCAATCCCTTTGACCAAAACAGGTATCCTGGGAAGCCCCTGTGAGCCATGATCCTAATGCTCACACGAGATCCGCTGGCATTTTCTATTTAGTGTCTAAATACTGCCAGGGCTGTACTGTGAACATTGAACTTCTTTACGCAGTGGTAAGGATCTAAGTTCAAGAAAAGGAAAGTGATTGTTTCTTTTGAAGTTTAGTTGCACAGCATCAGATACACACACACACACACTTTCTATAACGTCGACTCTTAGGCGTCTCAGTTGCTTTGACTACATTTTTTTCATTCTTCCATTTATGAAACCATATGATATCGCTAATTCATGCTAAGCATTCTAGAGTAGTCTCAGTTTCCTTAGACTTATTGGGAAGATGGCTTCTATCCGTGTATGATTCCAAGTGAAAGGAATGTGGTGAATCAAAGGTCATCTGATCAGGGGTTCCTCAAAGGTCATCTGGTCTAGCTTCCCACCCAGTCATCAATCCCATTCCACCACTCTTCTAACCAACGTGGAACAAGTCCATCACTGGCCTACATACATGGCACTCACCTACTTATAGTCAGCTTCTGTTTGGTTTCCCATCATTCCTCATGCTAGAAGCAAGAAACTAGGGCCAAAGAACATAACTTCAAGGTCTCTGCTGTTTTGCCAAATGCATTCTAATTAGGTCAAGCTCCTTTGATTTACCTGGGATTCTGCTGCTTTTGGCTGGGCAGCCAACTCAATCTTCTCAAGGGCTTTATGTTTTTGAGGCTGTGTCTGGAAATAGCAGTGGTAAGCAGTGGTATGCCTTTAAGAAAAATGAGCAAAGTCAAGAGTGGTGGCCCACACCTATAGTCTCAGCTTCTTGGGAGGCTCAGGTGGGAGGATCACTTGAACCTAGGAGTTCTAGACCGGCATAGGCAACATAATGAGACACTATTTAAAAAAAAAAGAAAAAGAGGAGGAGAAACCTTTTTATTAATCCCTCTTCCTTTATTTGTTCCTGTTTCCTCTCTTGAAAGCATTGGCACCCATGGTGGATTCCAGGGGTCCTCTCACTTCAGCCTCCCAAGTAGCTGGGGCTACAGGCACCCACCACAATACTTGGCTAGTTTTTCTGTTTTTAGTAGAGTTGGGGGTCTCGCTCTTTCTCAGGCTAGTCTTGAGCTCCTGAGTTCAAGCAATCCATTCACCTTGGCCTCCCAGAGTACTGGGATTATAGATGTCAACTACAGTGCCTGGCCAACCTTGGGATCTTTGTGTACTAAAACAAGAGTGGCTGCGAGGTCTGATCTTTAGAAGCTTGTAGGGAAATGAAAAGCCTGGCTAAGAAAAAAAATCGTCAGCCTACATCCTTTATTTCATCTTAGCTTGGAAGGAAAATTGAAATCAGACTCTTAATTTTCTTCAAACATTTCTATAAACAAAACTAGTAGCAGGGTACCCATCAGAAGCCTGTACTCTAGCTTCCTTTCCAGGCCTTCCTTGGAGCAGCCAGAATCCAATTCAACATGGAATCCCAGAGCTGGGGAGCAGGTGTGGGCAGGGATGCCTGGTGTTTCCTCTCCAAGGACTCAGGAATGCAGACTCCTCATCAGGCGACTTCTGTGCAGAGGCAAAGAGATGGCCATGATTAATAGGGGATGTGCTGCCTGGGTGAAAAAAAAATCCAAATAACTCCTCATCTGTCATTTACACCCTCTCATAAATATGAGTAACTACTTGTCAAAACTATTTACAACTTTGGAATTTCCAATTTTTCAACCTTTGGCAAAATGAAAACCATTTCATGGCTCAGACCGCTAGGTGACGCCATGCAGAAAGCAAGGCTATGCAGAGCCCTGTCCTCCCTCGACTGGGCTAAATAAATGTGCCGGAGGAACAGAAACAAAGAGAGAGCTGCCGGCTGCTGCTGCTGCTGCTGCTGCTGCTGCTGCTGCTGCTGCTTTTCTTTTCTTTTTCCTTTCTTTTTTCTCTTGCTTTTTTCCCCACAGAGCTTTCCTCCTGTCTTGTAACTCTTTCTGTTTCTTGTTCTGAAACTACACTCTGCACCACCTGAGGGAAACAGAAGGGGAAAATAAATAAGATGTGAAACACATGTGATATGCCCAAAAGCTTCCTTGCATTCCTGATCTGTCTATTATACACATATAATAATTTCGTTTGAAATCCTCAGCTTGATTTTTCCCCCCACATTTTGAGTATAATTAACAAGCCACAAGTAAACATCACAACTAATAAACATGATTTTAGTTCCTTTTTCTGGAATTATTTATGTAAAAATGCATTCAATCAACAAACGTTTATAGACCAGCTTTTTGTAATAAGGTACTATTTAGGCAGTGAGGGGAGTACAAAGGTAAAGGTAATGCAGCTTTGCCATCAAGCAACTAGAACTTTCCATGCCCTGTCTAGAATTGGGCACTAATTTACCTTGTGACAATACTTGTCCTCAAACCTCGGTTCTAAAGTGATTGTGTATCCTGTGTTGAGTGTCAGAATATTAATGATAAGCCTCTAAATTTTAAAAACACCCACATTCTATATGTTTTGGTTTTCTCACATTACAGCCTTTGAAGGTGGGAAAATTTCATCAGACAGAAATAGATGGTTGTTAATTGCAAATACTCGTTTCAGGCACAAGCCCCTTTTGAAGGGGGAAGTGGCTATACATCTTGGCATTCCCACTGGAAGGAAGGTCACACATATCCTGGCATTTTGGAAAAGAATAGACTAATATTTTCAGTGTAGGAGAAGTTCTTTATTTGTCACTTTTATTTTTTTTTATCCTGCTTCAAAACATTACATAATTGTTTTATTAAAATTAAATGAAAAAAATGGAAAAAAAATTAAATGGAACACTAGTTCAGTGAGCATAAATATTGTGGATAATTACTTTACAAACCTCTTTGGGGGGGGATGAACTATGGGGAGGAAGAAAAGATATCAAAGCTGGGGAGCTTTGGAGACTTAAACTTAAGAATTAGCCATAAACTTAAAAATAGGTTCATTGTTGGACTCCTCAGTTTCAAAAGGGGAAAGCATTTGTTAAGAAGACTCCTAAGAGCCAGGCGCTGTGGCTCATGCCTATAATCCCAGCACTCTTGGAGGCTGTAGCCGGTGGATCCCCTGAGTTTAAGAGTTTGAGACCAGCCTCAGCAAGAGCGAGACCCCATCTCTAAAAATAGCCGGGTGTTGTGGCAGGTGCCTGTAGTCCCAGCTACTTGGGAGGCTGAGGACATCGTAGCTCACGGCAACCTCATACTTTTGGATTCCAGAGGTCCTCTTGCCTCAGCCTCCCAAGAGGTGAGAGGACTCCTGGAGTTTGGAGAGGATCCCAAGAGTTTGAGGTTGCTGTTTGAGGGAGCTGTGATCCCACAAAACTCTACCCAGGGCAATAGAGTGAAGCTCTGTCTCAAAAAAAAAAAAAAAAAAAAGAAGAAGACGACTCTGAAGGGATGTTGGCAGTGCTCTGGCTCCTGATTTGGTGATGGTTACATGGGTGTTTGCTTTGTAATATTCACTATGTCATCCATTTCTGTTTTACATATTTTTCGGTATGCGCATTCTATTTCACAGTAATTTTCCTGCCAAAAGATAAAGAAGACCTTTTAAGATGCAAATAAAAACATTAATTTTTTTTTTTTTTATCAAAGGATTCCTTACAGTTAAATTGAGGTTTCCTGGTAGATTGCTGCTGTCCTTTGCTTTCCAAAGCAGGTGAGCCCTTGGCTGACTTTCTTGTCCTTTCAAGTGAGCCTCCTCCCTGGGCAGGCAACTGTTTCTTCCCGGTGGCTATCAAGAAGTACAGTCACGTGCCAGTTAATCATGGGGACACTTTCTGAGAAACGTGTCATTAGGCAGTGAAAATCATAGAGTGAACTGGCACAGGCCTAGGTGGTACCGCCTGTTACCGTCTAGGAGGGATAGCCTATTCCTTCTAGGCTACAAGCCTAAACAGCATGTGACTGTGCTGGATACTGCAGGCATCTGGGACACAATGGTGGGTATTTGTGTGTCTAAATCACTCTCAATGTAGAAAAGGTAGAGTGAAAATATGTTAATATCATCTATGGCCACCCATCATTGTGTATGTGGTCTGTTATTGACCAAAACATTGCCACGCAGCACATGACTGTATTGGGGCTTGGTTTAATTTCTTATCAGGTTGAGAGGATCAAGCTCTCTGTGTGTGTAAACATTATATAACATCAGAGATGATATCCCATTGGCATTTTCATATTTCTGCCTCCACTTTACTGTTCTTGTTGCAAGTTGTAGAGTACTGAAGAGATTAAAAGCCAGGGCAATGAAATCCGAAGGCCCAGGGTTGTTGGGAGGGGTCCTCCCAAGTTTCTGCAGCCTGCGATGGGGACACACAGATGCATCTGGTGGCAGAGCGGTCAGTGCCTGAGGGGTGCAGTCTTGTCCCCAGGTTTTCAGTGATGATCCGGTGAGAGAGGCTGATCTGTCAGTATAGATGCTCTTTTCGCTCTCGGGCTTCTATGTACGCACAACCACTCTCTTGTGCCTGCCCATGGCCCACTTCAGACGGGGTGAACTTTCCTTTGTACTCCCTCCTATTGACAGCAAATACTGTGAAGATTTTATGCCTGAAAATAAGATGTGGCAGCAACACTGCTTTCTAACCCTTCAGCTGGGACTTTTCAAACTGAATGACTGAGGTGGAAAAACATGAAAAGGGAAGATGTTAGAACGGGGACTCGCAGCCTATTTTCCTGTTTGAGGAGTGTTCCACTCGCGACTAGTAAACTGAGAGAAAAGTTCAAAGGGCTGAGGGGAAGAAAGAGAAGAGGTTTCAAAAAGAACTTGAAAAATTCATTTCTCTCTTTGAATCATGAATTCTGACTTCCAAAGAGCAGTTTGGGCTTTTAAAGGAGTTAGGAGCTTGGAAGAAAGTAGAAGCCATAAGAGTAGCACCAGCGGGAACATTCTCTGAACCTCAAAGTCCGGTTTTGCTTCAATGCCTAGAACTGAGTTTTGCCTCCATTACTACCTTTGTCAGAACTCTCAGGTCTCT